ACCCCTAGCAAGCAGCCACAGCAGCGGCAGCTCTGATCTGCTCCCCACACCAGAGCTCCCTTGCGTTCCTCTGCCTCTAGATTGCCTGTTCACCCTGTTCAACTCCTAGCGAGCAGCGGACAGCACAACCCTGACCTGTTGCTCCAAAGCACCCTTGCGAGCCTGTGCCTCTGCCTTGCTTGTTCATCCCCATTCAACCCTACTCAACCGCATTTAACTTCTATCGAGCAGCAACAGCAGCAGCCCTGAGGACGCGTAACATTTGGAAAACCGAGGAAGGTTCGGGGATGTTCACCGAACCTGCCAAATCGATCGCCACATCGGTGTGCCACGACTGAATTTTTGCAATCGCGGGCCCACCGCAAGTCCCAAGTGACACGTTCGGAAAATCATGGGGCAAAATTGCCCGATGTGGACGAAATTGCGCGATCGATGTGTGACAAGGGCACATCGATCGCCCGACTCCGAGGGGACAACTGTACATTGGCGACGGATGACGAAGACAGGTAACCAGCAGTTAACGACGTCGTGAATGCGAAAAACCGATCTTGTGCAGGATTGGTGTTTCACTTGTGACGCGTCCTGAGCTGCTGCTCCAAAGCACCCTTGCGTGGCTCCACCTCCGCCATCTCCGTGCCCCCGCTTTCCTATACAGCCAGCTAAAACCCACTCAACCGCATTCAACCCTAGCGAGCCGCCATAGCAGCGGCCCTGAGCTGCTGCTCCAATGCTCGAGTGCCCCTGCCAGCTCTGTCTGCCCCTGCCTTACCTGTTCAGCTGACTCAACCGCATTCAAACCCACATTACCCATCAAACCCCTAACGAGCTGCCACGAGCTTGCGCCGAGCTTCAATCAGGTCAAATGATTTTGTTACAGATTTACACAATACCCGCAATGATCTCGTTAGCTTTAGCGTTTTATTGCGGGTATTGTTGTCCGTGATAGCGCGTCTGCTGTTGTTGAGCACATTTTCCACGTGATGCTCTTCAAGATTTCCGACGAGTGGCACGGCATGCACTTCCCCTAAACATGTCTGTTTCTCGCCTCACGCCCACTTCTCGACCACGCGCCTCGACCTCACGCTTCGGAGCGATTCAGTGGACTTCGGCGTTAGTCTGAGTACCACCAGCTCATTGTGTCGTCGTCTTGATCCCTCTCAATCTTGATCTGACCTAAACACATGTCATGGAGGCTTTAGACGGGCCAGTGTTGTTTCGTGTCGCGCTTGCGGAAGACGGCGAGGCGGCGGCGGTAGCGACGGTGGCGGCGCGCTTGGTGCGCGAGGCGGCCAGCGCTGATGCCCTGCGAAACGCGGCGAGCAGCCTGGCGCGCTGCATGAGTACGTGCCCGGGCATGGTACGCGCGTGCTCCATCGCTCTGCGAGTGCACGGGGGAAGTGAGGATCCATTGGAGGAGAGCGGCAGTCACTTCCCCATTGATTATCACGTTAGCGACTCCTCTGCCCTCTCCTCCGCCCTCGCCTCTCAGCTTTTTGTGGACGAGTGCTTCCTCCCCGCCTCTCCTTCCCGCTCGTCGCCTCGTCCTCCTCCTTGCACCCCGAACCGCACCTCTTCCCACCGCTCGTCCCACTGCTCCGGTACCTCCTTCCTGCATCCACCCCCCTCGTTTGGGATTGACAAGGTAGCGGGTGAGGTGGAAGGGGGGGGAAAGGGGAAAGAAAGGGAGGAAGATGGGGGGGAGGGGGCGCAGGAGCGCGCAGCTGTGTTGATGGCAACAGGGGGCTGTGGGCAGGAGCACAGGGCTGGATCTAAGCGTTTTCATGTGGCGCGGGGAGCAATTGCGGGGTTCAAGCATTCGCGGTAAGCCATGGTGGTAATGTTGTGTGGAAGGGTGGTTGTTGCACCGGCTGGCACGGGGTTTGATGTGAAGGGATCAAGATCCCCGCTGATCTCACTGCTTTGTGCTTACGGTCCACCATATGCATGCTCGTCGCTCCAGCCCATGGCATGTGCTGCTCAGTCAACACTTGTCATGCGCTGCACATGTGCATGTTGCGTTCAACCCTTACCTCTCTCCCAATGCTTGGATGCAGATTTCACTGGATGCTGCAAGAACAGCCATTTGCTTCAAGCGCATGCCCCTTCTGCCATGACCATGTGAGACAACTGTATGATAAATGTTTTTGCCCCTTTTGAGACGTCTGGAGAACTAGCGCATGCTCCTTCTGCCATGACCAGGTGAGAAGGTTAACAGCCTGTGCCGAGTCCTTTTATGCAAGGACAGTGCTGTTTTTTCCGTTGCTGCTAGAATGGATGGAGTGTTGATGCTCCACGCGGATGCCCCTTCTGACATGTCCGGGTGAGATGGTTAGCAGCTGTGTTGTGCCATTGCAAGGACGGTGGTGCTCATCCTTTGCTACTGGAATGAAGATTTATTCTTTAAGTATTTGAGGGGTTCAAGCACAGGTTGCTATGTAATTTTTAAGCACCAGCTTTCCTGCTGAACATGGGTGCTCTAGCATATTAGGTACCCCACCCTCACTCGTGTGCCATCCTGCAGGCATGGAGTGCCACTGCTCTGCTGAAACCGACGGCTCACGTTGCGTTGGGTTGCAAAGAGGGCGATGCCTGCTGCTTCATCTGCAACCAGGTTGTTCCGCAGCCCCCAGTTTCATTTCTCAAGCTTCTCCTTGATTTGAGGCGCCTCAACTCGCCTCATGAGACGCCTCAGAAGTTGCCACCTTCAGTATCATTTGTTCTGATGCAATGTATAACTTCTTCATGGCTCACATCACGTGGCAGGGTCACCTGTTTAGAGTGTACCATTCAGATGAAGAGTATTTGGAATGTCTACGAGAAGACTACACCAAGGTTGTTCGCTCTGTCATTGACCCTTGGCCGGGAGGGCTGGGAGGGCTTTTTTTTGTGTGAATTTGTTGTTCTGATGGTTAGGTTTTTGTTTTAGGTGTGTACCGTTAGAGTGAGATGATGGAGAGCCGCTCAGACACCGTAGTATCAGCGTACCGCAAGAAGGCTGATTACGGTATGCTGATCTTTAGCGCGAGTTGTGTACATAGTCTGTCTTGGGCTTTTACTGAAAACAATGCAGTCATCCAGTATTTTCAGATCCATGCCTAATGCACTCATTCATCAACCTAGGAATGCATCCTAAGATGATGGTTTGCTATGGACACTATACTGTATCGGTGCCTCTCTAGAGTCTTGCCTATGAATATATGCGATAAGATGGAGGAGCAGTGTGTGTGGCTGTGGCGAGAACTTCCAAAATTACTACTTGAGTGTCTCGCCGAGGATAGTTCAGGTGCTTCAGGTGATTGTTTTTCACCTCTAATGAACCTTGATTTCGCTAACCACTGTAGCTTTGTCTTGGCTATAACTGAAAGCGCGTCCGCTGTTGTTGAGCATGAACAGAAGCCCATGCAATGCTTTCCACGATTTCTGACGAGTGGCATGGCATGCATTCCCCACGACCACGCTCGTTCCTCAAGCTCACGCACGCTTGATTCTTGACCACGCGCCTCGACCTCACGCCCATTTCTTGCGCACGACGAAGTAATTCTGAGGTATTTCAAGTTGTAGAGAGGGTTTAGTTGGAATCCGGGTTTAGTCTGATTGCCACCAGCACATTGTGTTGTCGTCTTCTTGATCCCTCAAGTACGCGTCTTCGTCGGGCCATGGAGGCTTTCGGCGGGCCATCGTTGTTTCGTGTCGCGGACGCTACCGGCGACGCTGTTACCACCATCGCCAACATCGCCTCCGTCTCCCGCGCCTTCGCCCGTGCCGCCCGCTCGGATCTCTGGCCGCGCTACTGCCTCGCGCGCGCCGCCCTTGCGGAAGACGGCGAGGCGGCGGCGGTGGCGGCGGTGGCGGCGCGCCTGGTGCGCGATGCGGCCAGCGCCGATGCGCCGCCAAACGCGGCGAGCAGCCTGGCGCGCTGCATGAGTGCGCGGGCATGGTATCTGCCTGCTCCAACGCGCTGCGAGTGAACGCATTGGAGGAGAGCGGCAGTCACCCTCCCATCGACCCTCACGTCAGCGGCTCCTGTGCCCTCTCCTCCGCCCTCGCCGCTCGGCTCTTTCTGGACGAGTGCTTCCTCCCCGCCCCTCCTTCCCGCTCGCCGCTTCGTCCTCCTCCCCGCACCCCGGGTTGCTCCTCTTCCAATCTTTCTTCCCGCCACTGTAACACCTCCCACCCCGTCCTACCTCCATGCCCCTCACCGGGGGACGACAGGAGTGTGGGTGAAGTGGAAGGGGGGAAAAAGAGGAAAGAAAGGGAGGACGATGGGGGGAAAGGGGCGCAGGAGGGCGCAGCTTTGTTGCTGGCGACAGGGGGCTGTGGGCGGGAGCACGGGGGTGAGGGTGAGCTTTTTGAGACGTCTCTGAACCAGGAGGGTGCGGCGGTGTTGATGGCAGCAGGGGGCTGTGGGGAAGAGCATGAGGATGAGGATGATGGTCAGCTTTGTCATGTGGTGCGGGGAGCGATTGCTGGGTTCAGGCACTCACGGTAAGCCATGGCGATGTTGTTGGGTGGATGTGTGGTTGTTGCGCTGGTGGCTAGTACCGGTGTGAGGGTATGGTCTCATCTGTGGGATGACCTACAGTGTAACGCCTGCTTCGTGCTTTGAATCTCCTTAAAAGACGTGGTTGATTCGCTAGTGGCTGGCAGGTGTTGTGATGGTATGGTCTCACCAGTGCGATAGTCCATAGTGCAACGCCTGTTTTGTGCACAGTCACAACTTAGGTGCATGTTTGTGTCTTATACATACCTTTCTCCTGGCTGCAGATTTCACAGGATGCTGCAAGGCCAGCCGTTTGCTGCAAGCGCATGCCCCTTCTGCCATGACCGGGTGAGATGGTTAGCAGCTGTGGGAGGCCTCTTTTGCAGGATGTTTTTCTTTTAAGGGAGTCTTAGTTGTTCAAAGATAGGTTTCGATGTGATTCTGGGCACCAGCTTTCCTGCTGAACATGGGTGCTCTAGCATGTTAGGTACCCCACCCTCACTCGTGTGCCATCCTGCAGGCATGGAGCGCCGCTGCTCTGCTGAAACCGACGGCTCACGTTGCGTTGGGTTGCAAAGAGGGCGATGCCTGTTGCTTCATCTGCTCCCAGGTTGTTCCTCAGCCTCTGGTTGGGTTGTTTGTTCCGCTTTGCAACCACCAGTTCCATAGCTCGCATTTTCCCTTGTTTGCCAGCCACCTTCGATATAATCTGTCCTGATGCAATGTATAACTTCTGCATGTCCCGCAGGGTCACTTGTTTGGGCTGTACAAGTCGTCACGCATGGGCTATTCTGATGATGAATGGTGGGATGACCTTTCGCCGGATGAAAGGGATGACATACTAGATCATATGGCCTGGTCCTTTGGTAGATGCTGATGATGACCATGGTCTCCCCAACAGCACTTGTAGTACATAAGATGGTGCAGAAGCCTTCAGATATCATGTCAGCGTAAGCAGGCTGGTTGTGCTGATCGTTAACGTGATTTGTGTTAGGTACCGTAGTATGTACGGTACCTAGTCTGTCTGGGCTGTTCTTCTCAATTCCACCATTTTCTTTGCGGATCAAATTTGATTTTGAGGAAAACAGAACCATTCCTATTGTAGTCCTACAGTAATCAACCTGACTCATGCCAAGCCCCTAGCAAGCAGCCACAGCAGCAGCAGCTCTGAGCTGCTCCCCCAGACCAGACCAGAGCACCCTTGTGTGCCTCTGCCTCTGCCTTGCCTGTTCACCCTGTTGAACCGCACTCAACTGCAATCCACTCCTAGCGAGCAGCCATAGCAGCAGCCCTCAGCTGCTGCTCCAGAGCTCCCTTAAAGCCTTTGCCCGTGCCAGCTCTGTTCCTCCATTTAACCCACTCAACCGCATTCAACCCTATCCAACCCTACTCCTAGCGAGCAGCCACAGCAGCGGCCCTGAGCTGCTGCTCCAGAGCCCCCTTGCAAGCCTCTACCACGCCTGTTCATCCTGTTACTCCAATCTTGAGCTGCTGCTCCAGCTCCCTTGCGAGCCTCTGCCTCTGCTCCCAGTGAACCACATTCAACCGCATTCAACTCCTAGCGAGCAGCCACAGCAGCGGCCCTGAGCTGCTGCTCCAGAGCTCCCTTGCGCGCCTCTGCCTCTGCCAGCTCTGTTCCTCAACCCTACTCAACCTCACTCAACCTTATCTTCCTAACGTGCCGCAACAGCAGCGGCCCTCAGCTGCTGCTCCAGAGCGCCCTTGCGTGCCTCTGCCTCTGCCAGCTCTGTCTGGAGCGCCCTGTGGTCCTCTAGCAGGGCAGCCTGTAAGGGGTACAAAAAACAGAGATGGAGATGGTTGGAGAATTCGGGGTTTAGAATTTCATGGAAAATCAAAGAGATAGTGGGAAGAGGATGCAGGACAGCATGCCTCTCTGCCAGCTCTCTCTGGAGTGCCCTTGGTCTTTTAACAGGGCAGCATATAAAGGGGACATACAATGTAGGGGTGGTTAGAAGTTGGGATGGGATTGATGGTGACGGGATGAAATCGTGCTCTGTAAATCTCAAATACTGGCAGCACTGCAGAGCCACCCACTCTCCTTCTCTACCTCTCTCGCTTTGTGCCGCCACACGATAAGAGTGATTTTTTGTAGACGTCTAAAAAAATCAGTCATATCACGTCACTCTCTGTCTCTACCTTCCCTCGCTTTGTGCCACCACCCTCTCCCTCTTGCTCACTGCCTCTCTGCTCTGCAAGTTGATGCGCCTCTGACCCCCTACTCACCTTCACCACCAGCAGCTCTCTCTGAATCTCCCTCTTCCTCCCCCTCTGTGCCGCCACTCGCTCTTTCAACTGCCCCACCGCTGCCTCTGCTTTCCTCGTCTCCACCTCCTCTGCTTCCACCTGCCTCTGCTGCTGCTGCAGCGCTGCTCTTGCCTCCTGCAAGGGAGAGAGAGGAAGGAGAGGGAGAGTCTGATTCTGAGTTGGTTCTTAGAAGAGCTGCTGCTGCGTATGATTTTGTTGTCTCCGCCTGCTCTGCTTCCACCTGCCTCTGCTGTTGCTGCAGTGCCGGCCTTGCCTCCTGGTGGTGGGGGAGGGGGGGTTGAGAGGAAAGGAAAGCGGGGAGGAATCCAGTCCAAGTCAATCTGTCTAGGAAAAGGCATGCCGTCCGAGGGAGGCATCAACCCTAAACACCTTGTCGTATGGTGTTTAGGATTGATGCCTGCCTAGGATGGCATGCCATCCAAAAGGAAGTGTTTTTTGCCCGCCGGTCAGGTCGACCACCGTCGGACCCCGTTTGGTTGAGACATTCCTGAATACGCAGCACAGCAACCAGAAACAAGAGAGGCAGCAGCGGCGTCCATTGCCGAGGGCGAGAGGCGCGAGGGGGATACCACACCCACCAGCGTCGCGACCTCGCAGTCAGGAGGGGGTTACAGAGAATGGTGGCTTAGAAAGAGTTCGCATCGCAGTACCTCTTTTTGAATGCGCAGGATGGAGACCAGAAACGGCGGAGGCAGCAAAGAGCAAGCAGCAGCAGCTTCCATTGCCGAAGTGGAGAGGCGCGAGGGGGCTACCACACCCACCAGTGTTGCCACCTCCCAATCGGCCAATCCTGCGCCGACAGCTGTCAGGTAGGCGGTTACCGCCTGTTGTTAGGGGAAGGGGAGGGGGTGGTGTAAAATGAAGGAAGAGAATGGAATGTGCGAGTGACAGTGTGTGAGTGCGTGAGTGGGAAACAGTTTCGAGTCCTTACCATGGGCAGCACTTTGACCGTGACGCTGACTATGTGTGCCTGTGTGTGCCTGTGTGTGCCTGTGTGTGACTGTGTGCCTGTGTGTGCCTGTGTGTGACTGTGTGCCTGTGTGTGCCTGTGTGTGCCTGTGTGCCTGTGTGTGCCTGTGTGTGCCTGTGTGTGACTGTGTGCCTGTGTGTGCCTGTGTGTGACTGTGTGTGCCTGTGTGTGCCTGTGTGTGACTGTGTGCCTGTGTGTGTGTGACTGTGACAGTCTTTGTGAGGGGGGGCAGCAGCATCCTCACGTACCTTGAGAAGGGCGTCATGGGATTGCCAGGCATCGGCAGGGAGGGCGGTGACAAGATGCTTCCGCTCCACCATACTCTGTGAGGGTGGCTGTGGTTGCCGGGGGGGGGGGGGGGTGCCAGCAGCATTCCCACGTACCTTGAGAAGCCCATCGTGGGACGGCCGTGCATCAGCAGGGAGGGCACACACCAGGTGCTTCCACTCCGCTACACTCACAGGGTGGTTGGGACTGACTGTAACTGTGACTGTGACTCACACTGGTACCTTCAACAACCCGTCGTGGAACGGCCGGGCATCAGCAGGGAGGGCAGAGACTAGATGCTTCCACTCCGCCACACTCAGGGCTCGCTGCCAGGGTTGTCTGCCCCTCACCCACACACTGGGAGTAACATAGTGACAGTGTGTGTGTATGTGTGCCTATGTACCTTGAGAAGCCCATCGTGGGAGGGCCGGGCATCAGCAGGGAGGGCAGAGACTAGATGCTTCCACTCCGCCACACTCAGGGTGGGCTGGAAAGGCTGCCCCTCACAGCCACTCTGGGAGTGACTATTACCTTCAGCAGCCCATCATGGGATGGCCGGGCATCAGCAGGGAGGGCAGAGACTAGATGCTTCCACTCCGCCACACTCAGGGTGGGCTGGAAAGGCTGCCCCTCACAGCCACTCTGGGAGTGACTATTACCTTCAGCAGCCCATCATGGGATGGCCGGGCATCAGCATTTAGGGCAGAGACTAGATGCTTCCACTCCGCCACACTCAGGGTGGGTTGGAAAGCCTGAGGGTCAGACTTGGAAGTCTCATCCTCGATAGCAGTCGCTTCGTTATTAGCAGGAGCACCGGCACTGATGCTTGAGAAAAGGCCAGCAGAAGCAGAGGCAGCACCAGCAGCAGTGGGGGAAGAAATGCCATCAGCAGCAGCATCGGGGTGGAGTGGTGGAGGGGAGGAGAGGTGGAGGAGGTAGGAATCGATGAGGGCTGCTGCTGCCTGCAGGAGGGTGTAAAAGAAGGGAGTGAGGCACAGAGAAGTCAAGTGGCAGCACGGGCAACAGTAGCAGAAGTGCCGTCAGCAGCAGCATCAGGGTAGGGTGTTGGAGGGGAGGAGAGGTGGAGGAGGTAAAGAGTCGATGAGTGCTGCTGCTGCCTGTAAGGGGGTGAAAAGAAGGGAGCGGGGGAAGAGTGAGAAGCAGAGGCAGCAGCATCAGGGTAGGGTGTTGGAGGGGAGGAGAGGTGGAGGAGATAAGAGTCGATGAGTGCTGCTGCTGCCTGGGTGGGGCGGAGACAGAGGGGAGGGGAGGGGAAGGAAAGGGAGGGAGGAAAGGAGGGGGAGGAATCAGCAAATATACCATTGATAGGAGGAGGTAAAGGAGGTAGGCATTGACAATAGATGCTGCTGCCTGCAGGGTTGTCAGAAGAAGGGGGACTGAACGGATGAAAAGGGGAGAAAATGGGAGGGGACGATCCTCTCAACACTGCTCTGCACTACAATACACTTCCCAAAAGTACCCTAAGTGATGAGTCAACTTTTGAGTCGACTCAAAAAATAGACTCATCAAATGAAGACGGCCCTGTCAACACTGTTTTTCAGTACAATCCACTTCTGAAAAGTACCCGTAACAACAAGAACAGCAAGAAATCACTACCTGCAGGGCTTGCGCGCGATCAGGCAGAGTGGAGAGGTGCTCCTCCGATGCAAATCCGTGCAGCAGACCCTGATGGGGGAGAGAGGAGGGGATAGAGAGTAGCGGGGAAGAGAGGGGAATGGCAGGGAGAAGAGAGGAACATGCTGAGGGGAAGCGATCAGGAGAGTGGAGCAGTGCTCTTCATGCAAGGCCGTGCAGTAAACCCTTATGAGGGGACAGAGGGAGGGGAGAGGAGCAGAGGTGAATGACCGGGACCATGATGCTAGGTAGATCAGGCGGAGTGGAGAGGTGCTCCTCGGATGCAAAACCCAACATCAGTTTTTCTGCTCCACCACCCCCACATATCCAACGCACAGCAGAGAAGTGTTTCGAACTGCAGCAAGCCATGGGCCTCCGTAAGGACGCGGTGAAAGTAGAAAATCGATCGTCAGTCACGATCGATATGCAGATTGGTTACCCTATTAACTACGATGTAACCATGCTACAGTACGTTTTTTGGCCAAATTTTCTGTGCAGTGCGTGAATGCGACTGATCACTGATAGCAGGAGATCTGTCAATTCTCAGGTGCGATCGTTACAGCGTTGCAGTCGCCATGTTTCGTCGATCGATCTGCCCACTCGATTGTGGGGCTCGATATTTGCAGACGATCCTGCGATATTTGCACTTTCACCGCGTCCTAAGAAAATTCAGTGAAGTGTAGTGGGCGGGTTTCTTGGTGGAGACCGGCACTCCTTTGAGTGACAGAAAAAGGAGCAACCCGGGTTTGAACCGGGGACCTATCGATCTGCAGTCGATTGCTCTACCACTGAGCTATGGCTCCATTGAGCGATACCTACCCACCTGCCTATAGGTCTCCAGGAAGAGCAGATCGTGCAGAGATGAGGATCAAAGTGAATGCGTAAACCCCTTTGTACCACTCCCCAGCCCACCTTTACCACTCCGTACCTGCGAGTCGCTGATCTCCAGCATGAGCAAATCGTCCAACGATGCGGATCATTTCAGCCCCTCTGCACCACTCCCCGCCTCGCCCGCACCACCCACCTCACCCGCACCACTCCCCGCCTCACCTGCATCACTCCCCACCTCACCCACTCCCCACCTCACCCACTCCCCACCTCACCTGCACCACTCCCCACCTGCACATCACTCGTCTCCAGCATGAGCAGATCGTCCAGAGACGACGCTCTACCAAACGCGTTCAACCCCTCTGCACCACTCCCCAACCCACCTCCACCACTCCATACCTGCACGTCGCTAGTCTCCAGCATGAGCAGATCGTCCAGGGATGCATCGGTGAAGAGCGCTCCTGCTCGGCTGTGGGAGAGGGAGAGGGGGGTGAGAGAGGGGAGATGGCAGGCCAGGTTGGGTTGGTTAGACAGGAGGGAGGAGCGGATGAAGCATGAGCATATCGTCCAGGGATGCATCGGTGAAGAGCCCCCCTGCTCGGCTGGGGGATGGGGAGAGGGGTAGGTTGAGGGAGGGGCGGTGATAAGGGAGGGGAGAGGGGAGATGGGAGGTTAGATAGAGGGGAAGCATGGGAAGATCGTCCAGCGATGCATTGGTGAAGAGTGCTCCTGCTCGACTGGGGGAGAGGGTGGGAGAGGAAGACAGGAAGGCGGGAAGGTGAGAATGGGAAGTTCCCGCAGCGGCTGCATGGGCCCGCTGGCAGCAGCAGCAGCAGCAGCAGAGGGATTGAGCACCATGGCAGAGCGCAGCAGCGCCAGCAGCGGCTGCATGGGCACGCTGGCAGCAGCAGCAACAGCAGCAGCAACAGGTCACATCCCAATTGCACCTGAACGCCCCTACGTGTAAGCATGACTCGCAATCAACGCTAAAGCGTGGCCTTGACCCCCTCACTCGCGTTGAGTACTGTCGCGCAGCGCAGCAGTGCCCTGCCCGCACAGTTTGCTTCGGCACACTGGCAGCAGCAGCATTCCAAAAGCCCCCTCTTTCCCCACCCTCTCCCCTCCGTCTCCTCCCCACTCCACCAGCGTTCACTCACCGCTGCAGGGTAGCCTTAACCCCTTCACTTGCGTTGAGCACGATAGCACAGCGCAGCAGCCCCAGCAGTGGTTGCATGGGCACACTGGCAGCAGCAGCAGCAGGCAGGGCCGCTGTCAGTCCCTCTAGAACCTCCAGGTGCTACACCCGAACATCACTCACCGCTGTAGGGTGGCCTTGACCCCTTCACTTGCGTTGAGCACTATAGCACAGCGCAGCAGCCCCAGCAGTGGTTGCATGGGCACACTGGCAGCAGCAGCAGGCAGGGCTGCTGTCAATCCCTCCAGGACCCGACGGTAATGCGCGGGAGAGAGAGAGGCGGAAGACGAGGAGGAGGTGGAAGAGGAGGAGGAAGAGTGGGGAGAGGGAGGAGGAAGGTCGGAGTAAGAGAGGGCAGCGAGGGATTTGGGGTCGGGCAGGTTGTGCTGAGCGTAGAAGGCGATTGCGCTGCCGATTTCCTTCTCGGGCAGATTCTTTTCCTGGAGGGAGGTATGGTGGGGAGGGGCAAAGAGAATGGGTGACATATGTTGATAGTGGCATATCTTGACCTTTCCTAGAGGGCTCTTTAGGTGACAGAATTAGGTGTTTGTTGGTTAGTCGCATACCTTAAACTTTCCTAGAACGCGAAGGAAGATGTCGAGAGGCAGGAGAGCGATACCATCTGCAGCCATAGCAATGGGGACACAAAGGGAGAACCATCATAAATCGATAGCATTCGGTTACGAGAGTGTCAGCCTGACACTCGTGCTTTGTGGGGAGTGTTCAGAGTCGACTCAAAACGCACTCGCGAGGCAGAGTGGGATAAGCACGAAGGAGAAAGATTGCCAGAACCGTGTCTTATATATTTGAAAATACCCTGCAGCACGTACCGCAGGTGTGAATGGGTGTGGTGCAGAGGTTGTGACTGGAGCCGGGGGGGGAAACACAGAGGGAAGGGGAGGAGCAATTATGGGGAGGGAGGAAGGGAGCAGCGGAGGAAGAGAAAAATGCTCAGAAGAAAGAAGAGAAGGGAGGAAGTAATGGTAGAAAGAGTCTCGCAATTTGAGTAAAGGGAATGCGACCCTATGTGGCAAGAAACATCCGAAGGAGATTATATAACCGAGGAGCAACATCCAAATCCATGAGCGTTACCAGGCAACCGCATGCTCTGCCTAATCGTAGATACTGCCTGGTTAAGGGAGGAAATACATGCATCTTTAAGAGGGTTACCTGGTAACCGCATGGTCCGCCAGCCTGTCGGCTGCCTCGTCCACGATTCCCAGTGCATCTGCTTCTGCCAGCAGGCCGGCACAGCTGAGAGGGGAGGGGAGGGGAGGGAGGGGTTAATGAAGGGAGTGGGTGGAGATGTGTTGACAGGAGGGCAGATCCGGAGGCGGGCTGTTTGCCTCGTCCACTATTCCCAGGGCGTCTGCTTCTCATCTCAGCACCGCAAGGGCAGCATCAGCGTGTTTCAGCATGCCTCCCATGGCAGCAGCAGCGAACGACAGCAGGTTCACACGGTACTTGCCCATGCCCTTCAAGCAAGCACGGCCCATGCCCTCACCACCACCACTCACCTTCTCAGCACCGCAAGGGCTGCGTCAGCATGCTTCAGCATGCCTGCCATGGCAGCAGCGGCGAACGACAGCAGCAGTGAACGTGCTTGCGCATGCCCATGCCCCCACCACCACCACTCACCCTCTCAACACAGCAAGGGCAGCATCAGCGTGTTTCAGCATGCCCGCCATGGCAGCAGCGGCGAACGACAGCAGGTTCACTCGGTACTTGCCCATGCCCTTGCGCGAATCATCGGTCATTCCAAGGAATGCGGCTGGGGAAGAGGAGGGAAGGGGAAAGCAGGAAGAGGGAGAGGAAAGAGAGGGAGGCATAGAGGTGAGAGAGGGATGACATGACAGCAGGTTCACACGGTACTTGCCCATGCCCTTGCGCGAATCGTCTGTCATTCCAAGGAATGCGGCTGGTGGGTGAGGGGATTTCGGGAGGGAGGGGGGATGCAGGGAAGGAAGTAGCGGGGTGAGAGAGGGACGAAGGGACAGCAGGTTCACACGGTACTTGCCCATGCCCTTGCGGGGAGTCATCTGTCATTCCCAGGAATGCAGCTGGTGGGGGAGCGCAGGGAGAGAAAGGGAGGGAGGGAGTGGGGTGAGAGAGGGACGAACGGACAGAGAGGTTATGTTATGAAAGGCGGCTGGAGAGAGTGGGAGAGCGAACGGCAAGGGGGGAGCTATCAACGATCACACACACGCGACACCCACATAACTCACACTCACTCTCACTCGAACTCTCTCACTTACACACACTCACTCCCACACACTTACCAGCACCAGAGGGCTGGAGCACCAAGTGGTAAAATCTTGAACATGGTGTTTCTAGAGTTTGTCTGAAACTCACCGGCACAAGCAAGGGCAGGAGCATCAAGTGGTGAGATCTTGAAATCCATTCCATAACAGAAGCTGGCGACCTTTGGAAGGAGGGGCGAGGGGGCAGGAGAGGGCATGGGAGGTGAGACGGGACAAGGGAGCGGGCGGGCAGGAGCATCAAGTGGTGAGATCTTGAAATCCATTCCATAACAGAAGCTGGCGACCTTTGGAGGGGCGTAGGGGCGGTGGAGGGAGGGCATAGCATGGGAGGTGAGACGGGACAAGGGGGGAAGCAGGAACATCAAGTGGTGAGATCTTGAAATCCATTCCATAACAGAAGCTGGCGACCTTTGGAGGGGCGTAGGGGCGGTGGAGGGAGGGCATAGCATGGGAGGTGAGACGGGACAAGGGGGGAAGCAGGAACATCAAGTGGTGAGATCTTGAAATCCATTCCATAACAGAAGCTGGCGACCTTTGGAAGGGGCGAGGGACAGAGGCAGGCACAGGGGAGGTGTTACGCGCTTTTGAACCAATACTCGAAAGCGTTTTATAAGTGTCCTAGGCCACTGAAAAGAATCCTAGGCCATTACAAGAAGCCGGCAACCAAAGTCCCTTGCTGCGCCACTTCCTCTCTCATCCCTCCATCTCAGCTACTCACATTTCCTGTTCACAGCCCATAATCTCACCTCTCACATTTGCGAGCTTATGGGTTTAACTTCCCTCTCCCACCACCCACCTGCTTGAACGCCCTTTCCCCTCCGGGTAACCCCGAGATATCAATGTGGTTGCGACCAGAATCAGGGTCCTCAGAAGACGATTCTTGGAAAAAGTCACTGGTAGGCGCGAGATGGGGGGAAGGGAGAGAGGGAATTCAATCGACTTGGAAAAACTGAATAAATCGGGGAATATTTCAGCAGGTTTTAGCGGTAGCAGAGGGAGGAGGAGAAGGGGGGAAGATGTGGAGATTGAAGAGGAGGAGAGAGTGGAGGGGACAAGTGAAGGTGGATTGAGGAGAGCGGGTATGGAGAGAAGGGAAGGGAAGAAGATGTAGCAGCAAACACATCTTGTGTTATAACTTGCAGAGAGAAAGTAGGATGAAAAAAAACTTGTTGCACTAACAACAAACAGGGTTGAAAGTTGAAACGAACACACCCAAGATAGGATTAGAAGCACTCACGTGCGTGCGTATAGTGGGTACTTGTGAACGTTGAAAGAGACTCCGGATACAGTCACTCCTGGTGCAGTCACCCCCGGTATAGTCACACTCAGGTCGCTCCTCATGCCGGCTCGCCTCAGCCACACGGCCTCCAACTCCTCCACCGACATCGATGCCACGTCAACGGCCATGCTCGCTAAGGGATAAGGATGGCGGGCTGCCACGTGTCAGCAGGCTACTGGAGAACGGAGTCTGGCGGAATCAACTGCACGACCCGTTAAGTCCCTGATTCCTTAAACAGAACAAGTGGAAGAGGAAAGGCAGAATTCTCGCCAGAGTCGAAGCAAAGCAATCCCGGTCGTTTGCAACCATTCATAGTAGCGCGTGACACTGGTACGCGCCAGTTTTGCAGCTAAAGGGCTGACCCGAGCAGCTTCTTCCGCTCGCATCCTGTCCAAACGGTTCTTCTTTTTCCGACGCGAGCAAAAAGAGCGGCTCGGTCGTCCGGCCAGTTCGCTTTCCCTCTGCGCCTCGAGGCGAACGACGTTTGTCGCCAGCACTGATGCGATCGAGGTCACGAATTCGACCCAGCATGGTAACCAGACTGTCCTCTTCGCCGGGCACTGTAGCGACGGCCCACTGGGTTCAGATTCCTTCGCTCGGCGTGCACGAACTTCGTAGGATGTGATTTGAGACATCTCAAAACACTACTTTTATCACGTGACTTAGTGGGATTCGAGAACAGGGACGGTGAACATTGTCGGGGTGAACGGTGCTCGAAATCAACGTCTCGGATTTCCTGGGGAGCGCCGGTCAGCGAATCGGCCTAACTTCAACGCTGTACTATATTTGTAACTGGTTCTTTCAATGCTCCCTCCAAGACTGTAAGGCAGCGTCTGCTCGACTAAAGTTGCGGCGACGAGCTTGCTTCGGAAGCATTGAGCAAGTCGCCGTGACAGTATGACAGCGTCTAGCACAGGCAACGCGACGCGATACTTGTCCAAGGCCGTCATGGTTATAGTACCGTAATAGTAGTCTCGAAACTATCGATGGGCGACGCGTGTGCCTTTCCGTGCGTGTCGGACGGTACTGTATGCTGGTTGGAACAAAACGAGGTTTGCTTTCAATACCAGAATGTTTGGTGAGGTACGTTACGGTTCCAAGCGGCGCAGAGCAGAAGGTGCTGGAGAGTTGGTGGTCTTGAGGGCGAGTCTGGGGCAATCGTTTGGCGCAAGACAGATTCTAGACTAGCGGTTCTCAAGATTTACCGTTTTGCACCGTGACTGAACACGTTTAACCGCACAAAACGAACGAGGTTGGACCGCCGTCAGGGCGACTGCTTCCGAGGGCGTTAAAATGAGTAGACACAGATAGGTTTTTTTTTTGGGTTGCGAAGCAACCCTTTACAATCGATTTTGCCAAATTTTATTTTCATGTTTTATCATTTTTAATAAAACATGAAAATAAAATTCGTAGACTACAGTACCCTTCCCATACTGTGCGCATGTTGAAGAATTTTGAAAGATGTTCACAGTATATGTAACCATATGATTGTTTTTTTTTTTTATACGAACGGCACATTTGTTGTTAGTATCAGTTTGTACAAACATAAATCTCTCAAGGACCTAAACAGAAAGAGGAAAAGGAGGGAAAGAAAGACTCAACAAGGAGAAGGGAAATGAAGAAAGAAAGGGAGAAGGAAAGTGAAACTGCCACAAAGAAACCAAACGCAACACACATAAAACCCCCCCTCAAGATACCCAATCAAAACCCCCAATCAAGACACCCCATCAAGACGTCCCATCCCACACCCCATTCCCCCCCCCCCCCCCCCCCCCAATCACAACAGCGTATCCACCATGTACGGGGCCTCCACCCAAAGAGCCCCGCCTTCCACACCGACATCGTCCCTCTCCCGATCGACCAAGTCTACGTTAATTCCCCCCCATGGAAGACGCCGCCCGCAGCAGGATGACTCGGGCCTGCGCACGTTGTAACGCCACCCCGATGAGCGCCTTCAATGACCCTAAAAGATAAGCCGAAAACATAGAGTCGTCCTCCCGACAAGCCCCCCGCGACACAGCTAACCCCATGTGCGCATCCCCCTGCTGACGAAGCCACCGCCGAAAACGACCGCCGAGACACCTCAATATAATTGTTATTTGTCAGTGGTTTTGTTTTGTGCATATATGCTGTATTGTTATATATTAGTATGTTTTACTATTAAATGGTACTGTAGTAATGATAAATAGAGGCATGATGCATAAATACTACTATATGATGCATAATGTTTAATAGAATGATATGTCGTGAATCATGATGCACATGCATGCACATAATAAAGTGCGTGACAGTTAACGACCCAAAAACTAAGCTACCGCCATCCCCTGCCTAGCATGGGGGGGAGGTCAATAGCATAGATTTTGAATAATCAACTATCACATGAAACAACACAATCTGTAAATCTTAAAAAGATGGTCAGTCCTATCAAATCCAGTTCGAAGTGGCAACACACGAATCACTTTGTGCGCCAATGAACCTTTTGTGAAATGATAGACTTGAGCCATCTTTTTAAAATTCACAGACATGCATTGTTGATGCAATGGACATAAAAGAATGCACATGCATGCACACAATGACACACCCACACGCACTAAGGCAAACTACGGTAACGATAATAGAGCCGCATGGAAATGCACAAACAAAAAAGACTAGGAAGAAATGGAAACAGAAGATGCAAAATTTATGAACAGCAATCTAAATCAAATTCCACAATCCAACATTTCCCAATCGCTTGGCTCAATCATAAGGTAGTTAATCTGACGTACGCGCAACCTGGTGAAGAAAGAAAACAGGCATCACAAGACGAAGAAAGTGTCAAAACATATTGTTATGTTCTTACTCTAGGTTGTGTAGGGTCACACCTTAGAGGGTACAACCCAACTCTCTCGACACTCTTGTACCCCCTCTCCCTCACCTAATCATCATTCCTCACCTAGCTACTAGTGATTCTAACATGGTATTAAGAGCACAATGCTCCTTAGGACCGAATGTTTAAAAGGGCCCACCACTACTATTTCGATCTACTGCCCGAGTCACGCCCCTAGGAGAAACGCGAAATTCGAAATCGTGCTCTAGGCGAGACGGTTCCTTTTTCTGCCCTAGACGCGATTTTCCTTCCTAGTCACGTGCGACCCCCCCTGACCGCGCCTTAGCTGCCAGTACAGCCCGCGTAGGCCCGTCGCGAAGCCCGTACAGCCCGCGTAGGCCCGTCGCGAAGCCCTTACAGCCTGCGCCAGGCCGTCGCGCAGCCCGTACAGCCCACGTCAGGCCCGCACCCAGCTCGTAAAGCCCGCGCCAGGCCCGCACGCAGCCCTTACAGCCCGCGCCTGGCCCGCACGCGGCCCGTGTTACTGCTGCACTCGCTGCTGCTGCTGCTACACTGCTGCGCCTGAACTGCTGCTGCAGTGCTGCTGCCGCCTGTACTGCCCTGAAACTGCTGCTGCTACTTGCTGCAGCTGCTCCTCCTTGCTGCTGCTGCTGCTACTTGCTGCAGCTGCTCCTCCTTGCTACTGCTGCTACAGCTAGCGCTACTCACTGCTGCTGCTACTGAAGCTAGTGCTGCTACAGCTAGTGCTACTGCTGCTGCTGCTACTACCGCACTTGCTATAGCTGCTACTGACTGAAGCTACGGCTGCTACAGCTAGTGCTACTGCTGCAGCTCCTACTCCAACACTTGCTACAGCTAGTGCTACTGCTGCAGCTCCTACTCCAGCACTTGCTACAGCTGCTCCTGACTGAAGCTACTGCTGCTTGACTGAAGCTACTGCTGCTACAGCTAGTACTACTGCTGCAGCTCCTACTACTGCACTTGCTACAGCTAGTGCTACTGCTGCTCTGCCACTGTGTCCGAGCCGCGCCGCCCAGCCCGAGCTGTCACTGCTGCTGCTACTGCAACTACTACTGCTACAGCTAGTGCTACTCGGTCTACTGCTGCTGCTGCTGCTGCTCGGTCTGCTGCTGCTGCCCGAGCCGCCCTGCTACTGCTGCTACTGGAGGGAGTACTGCTGGGAGTGGTGGAGGTGCGGCCTCCCACCCCCACCGAACCGCCCTGCTGCTGTTACTACTGCTGCTGCTGCTACTTGTGCTACTGGGAGTGGAGGAGGTGCTGCTGGGAGTGTAGGAGGTGCTGCTGGCGCTGTAGGAGCTGGAGGTGCTGGACCTGTCAGAATGTATTTGCTGTCTAGCCTGCAGTGGGGTACTCTGTAATGAATACAACCCAATTTAGGGTGTTGTACTTGTATCCCAACTCTTGCTAGTGAAACCCCATTCCTCTCCTTCCAAACCTCTCGATACTTTTCCTAAACTAGAACTCAACTACCAAGGCTCCTAAACTATGGCTCCTAAGCCAAACTCTCGCTAGTTCTTTAACATGTTATCAGAGCTTAACGTTCCTGGCCTGTGGGCCCACTCGATTCCGCTGCCCTACTGTGTGTCGCGCGCCCTGTGGCGCGCGACATCCCATTTTTCTTCCCGCCACGCGCTCCGAGCGCGTGGCGGTTTTCTGCCCGCCGTGCGCCCCGAGGCGCGCGGCGGGTTCCTACCTCGTCGCGGCGTCTTAGGGGCCCGCGCACTGGCCCCGACCGTCGCCTCGTCGAGGCGTTTTGGGGGCCTGCA